AACAGAGCCATTTCATGCCCAGGTTAAAAAAAGAAACTTTCTGAGGTTTTGTTTTGTAATCACCTTTACTTTTATCTTCGAATTCACGGATAATAATGATTATTATTATTTATATGTCCCTTGGGTTCCTAGTGGACATAATATTTCAGTAGCACGTCTACATTTCACTCTATTCTCTCCACTCTTTCCTTTTCACCTGGCTCCACGACTACCCACTACCTTCCATCTCTTCCTCACATCATCTCCTCCATGTCACCCTCGCATCCAACGCCAAACTCATCGTTTCCTATTCGCCTTTTACTCGACGACCTCGGTCGGTGCGTCATATCCCCAATCGGTCTTCTCAATATATGTCCAATCTAGTCCAGTCAACTCCAATCCATCTCAACTTTCTTCTTCTGCATATTTCTTCAACGATGGCTTCTTAGTTGCTTCTCCCCAACCATACAGAGTTCCTTGTTGCTTATTCCTATTCTTCATCGTCATCTCACCTCATTTTCAGTATCCAACGTAGATAGCAGCTGTTGATGAATGTCTGTAGATTGTAAGAAATGCTTTCCGTGATACGCTAACTCTCTCAACCATCACATAGAAGCACTCACTCACTCACTTGACTTGACTGACTTAGTCTTCAAAATCCGGATCTTGTTAACATTTATGCTGAGTGGAGTGTAGTAGATCTCCACACTGATTTCAGATTAATGCAGGAAGGCCTGTCTTGCTGTCTTTCAGATTCTAGCTGGCTTTGACTCTTTATCGTGCCTGTGTCGCCTATGGTTGAAACGATGCTGCCTAGGTAGGTAAGTGAAGGAGACAACTTCGTTTGGATTTCTCCCACTGACGGTGATTGGTGCTTGTTGTTGTTGTCGTTGGTTGGGTATCTTCACCACATCTATCCTCTCTACGTTCACCTAAAAAAGTCCAGCCTTCGCTGCCTTTTCTGTCAACTTAATATTCTTCACCTGTAGATCTTCGAGTTTAGGCAACATGACACTAGACACAAATCATCATTGGCGAAATCCAAATCTTCTAGGGTCTTTCCATCAGTCAAACAGCGTATGTCCATCTTCTCGCTCCTCACTGTTAGTTGCATGATCCAGTCCACCACAATCAGGAAGATGATCGGTGATAGTAGACAGCCTTGTCTTACTCCTATCTTCACTTCAAAAGTATCACTGAGCTTTCCATTGTCAATCACTTGGCATGTGCCGACTTCATAAAGCTGTTGAATGAGATTGATAAAGGTTTGTAGTACTAAAACTGTAGTGTTGAAGCATCTGCCTGCCAAATTACTTGTCGGTCAACGCTGTCAAAGGCCTTTTCAAAGTCGATGAAGTTGAGGTTGAGAGAGAGTTGACTCCCATTCCATACTCTGTTCTATGATGATGTGTAGTGTAGCGTTGCGATTTGATCTGCACATGATTTGTACTTGCTGAATCCAACCAGCCAGCCTGTTCCGGTCGTACTTTTGAATCCAGTGCATCTTTTTGTCTCTCCAAGATGATGCGGCTTAATATTATGCTTGCTTTCGATGGACAGGAGCTTGATTCCGTGCCAGTCCTTGCAAACACTTAGGTCTCCCTTCTTTGGGAGTTTGAGACAGTAGCTCTTCTTCCGATCGAAAGGCACCTTTCTTTTCTTCCAAACTTCTTACAAGTATGAGGGTATCCGGTGTCGTCTTTGCGTCTGTTTCCAGTGATTCAGCCGGAATTCCATCTGGTCCTGCTGCTTTCTCAGATTCCAGCAGCTTTATGACGTTCAGGACTTCCGCTTTTGTCGAAAGGTCTTGCTTCAATGGTAATTCCGTGGCTGGACTGCTGGTGGTATTTCTGGACGGATTGCAGGTGGTGGTCGATTCAAGAGATTTTTGAAGTGGTCGGCCCATCGTTCACTTTGTTTCTCCTCTTTCCTAACTAAGTTTCATTCACTTTCATTGCATTCATCTGCGTTCATCTCTTCCCTTACAGATAGTAACCTGGTTATTTGATATAGTGTTGTCAGGTCTCTATCTCTCCTACCTGCAGCCTGTTCTGCTTCACTTGCCATTGTGTCACAGAAGTATCTTTTGTCTTTGCGCCCACTCTTCTTCACTTCTTTGTCCAGTGTAGTGTTTTATAGGTTGTGTTCAGTTCCCCTTTTTTTGGTTGTTCATCCTTGCACTGATTTATCTTCTGCTTCACCATCCTCCTCTCTCTGCTCTATCAGCTTCCATGTATCCGTCGAGATCCATTCCTTATCTTCTTTCTTCTTCCTTCCTAATACGGCTGTGCAGCTTTCTCTCCACATAGCTTTCAAAGACTTCCAGTGTTCTTCCACACAGGTTTCTTCAGAGATGTTCCTCGATATCTCCCATTTTGTCTTGATGGCTGGCTGCCTTGAAGATTTCCTTTGTAGTTTCATCCTTCAGTTTCCGAGTGTTGTACTTCAACTGTGGTCTATCACCTGCTTCCTTGAAGGCTTTCAACTTGATTTGGAAGGTTACTTGCACTAGATAGTGTGTGATCTGAACCTACATCTGCTCCTCTTCTTGACCTTGTGTCAAGTAGACTGCGTCTCCATTTTCTTGAGATTGAGATGAAGTCGATGTGATTTTTAGTGTGTCCTGGTGTCTGATGAAATCCATGTCGCTTTGTGGATATCCTTGTGCTTGAACACAGTGACTCCAATCACCAAATCGTTGAATGTACAGAATTCTGCAAACAATTCTCCATTCTCGTTCATCACCTCACCGAGCGCTTCTCGACCCATGGTTAGTTCTCTTCCTGTGTTGTCTGCTCGCAGTTTGGCATTCATGTCACCCCACCCATTAGAATTTTGATATCGCCAACTGACGTCTTGTCCAGTGTTGATTGCACTTGTCTGTAGAATTCCTCCTTTTTCTCTTGATCTGCATTATTTGTAGGTGCGCAGCATTGTATGATTGTGACTTTCCTTCCTTTTGAGTTGAATCTTGCTGTCATGATCCTGGAGGAGATTTTTCCCACTGCATGAGAGCCTTCGATGCTCTTGCGGACATCACGATAGCCACTCCAAAACTCAGTGTGCTCATGGTTGTCGTCTGGGTGATAATTTCAGGGTACATAATTGACTGTCCAGTTGACAGTTTGGAGAGTCCACTCCCATTCCAACTGCTTTCGCGAATTCCAAGCACTTCCATGCGATACCTTCTCATCTCTTTTGCAATCTGGGCTGCCTTGCTGGGTTCTAACATCGTGCGGACGTTTCATGTCCCCACGTTTACTTTCGCTTTCATCGAGAGAAGATACACCGGCCAATTGGCTTCCCGAAGGCTTTCACCAACTGGCGTCATTTTGTCTCGCTGATTTTAGCGAGGAATAAGTTTGTTTTTATTTTTAATATTTTGTTTGTGCTTTGAAGTTTTTGTAGCGGTTAGATTGGTTTTAGGGGGTACGGTTGCTAGCCCTACGCCCAGTAACCAGTGAACTAGTTACCTAGGCGAGGTTTCTAATTCATGCACCCTAATTAATTTAATCATGTTGGTATCAAATGACTATGCTAAATAGTTTGTAAATTTAAGTATAAACCTGAAGAGAATTTAAGGAAAATACGTATTTGCTTCAAACGCTGTTTTCTATTTACGGTGGTGTTTAAAGTTACTCCAAGATTCGAGGTGACGATGTGAATCTGTAAGAAAAGTAATATAAATGAGAATATTCAGCTAGTATATGTAGGTACTTCAGTTATGATTAGGAAAGATGGATAGCTGAGGCATTCCAAGTCACACTGATCCCTAACGCACACAACAGAAAGAAAGCGTCTAACCATCCAACTAACTTCGACAATATATTCGAAATAACACGTTGTCTATATTATTCGGAACTAAAGTGCATACACACAAACAAACTGAATTTCTTAATCACATTAATTTTCTCACACCTTTAAACCTATACACATGCACACACATCTGCATCTTCACCTGGAACTGACAGCGATGACATTTATTTATTTATGTAGGAACAGGTGTGATGTAATTTGTCTCCATTTACTATTTGGACGCGATATAACTTGTACAGGTTTTATTCTCTGAAGAAGTGGCTTCCACGATGGCACAAAACGTCAAAAACTAATTTTTATATATCCATAATAACGTTCAGGTAGATTAAGGACAAAAGACACCTCTCCTCATTTTCTCAAACAGTGAAGTTAGGGAGAGCTGTCCAATTCCCCATTCCTTTTTACCTTGCCATTAATGTTATGTTGGAGACAAGTCTATAGGTGTGTAGTGTTATTGTAGGTTTGTTACCAGATGATAAATCTCAAACATCGAAGATATGGTCGATATTGTTCCATAAAGACAACACATATGCTACAGAATTCGCAAATAATCGGTTAGCAATCAGCCTAATAGCATGATATGCGTTTTGTAACGTTAAGGTGATAAGTGCTATCATAAGATAAGCAAGAGCACTTGTCCGCATTCACGTTTGGTGAACTGTTGGCAAAACACTTTTTAGACAGGTGGTGTGACAGCTAGAGGAAGAATAACCGACAACATTTCCAGTTACATATCAAAAGACAAAGAAGAATGTGTGATTCCAGGTTTACTTTGGTGTCATTGGGACATTAATTTGGTTGTAAGAGATGTAGGGTATACAACGCGTCGGTGTGGGCAGCTATGTTCAGTGTCTGTGAAACCTAGAATTTGAGAACTGAGGAATCCTAAGCACCCAGTGTTTTCGATTATCACCGTCCTCGTGAGAATACCAACATCCGATGATAAATGTACGAAATTCTGAGGAGAAACCGTGAATGTCTCGGTGTGATGAAAACCATCATTCATTGAGTGAAGGTATCATGAAACACCAACTTCAATAGCTTAGACATAAATCTCATCCTTGTGGCTCGCATACCTTTGACTAACCTTGGGACTGGTTCAAAGCAGAAACTTCATGAATAAACAATCCAGCTCAAAAGATATAATACAACTGAGATCTTCTTCCATTTCGAATGCGCATACACTTAAATAACTCGAAGTAGTTGTCTGTTAGCAACATTTTGCTACATAAAGAAGTTGACCCACTAAAGAAGATCAGATCACTATGTATAATTCAAATAATAAACATTGAAATAAATGATGAATGCTGATTAATGCTAATGTCTAAGTCTATTCTTTTCTCATGCCGCCGGTTCGTTTCTATTTATCATCTCTCTAGGCAATATAAGACGAAATGTTTCGTTTTCTATATCGTTAGCACATTTTTGAATCCTATCATCACCATCATCACTGATAACATTATTAATCTATGTGTCAATGAGGAAAAAATATTGTTCCCTTTATGATAGAAACTTATCAAAAGAACTATATATGTTAGCTGAAACAGTATTAATTACTGATAAGTAAAATAATGCTGCTTCACTGTATTATGATACATCATAAAAGTTATTTTTAAAAAAAAACTATAGTGAAATCATATTCTTATGTTAATTGGTAACTTATTCTTGTAGTCCGACATAACATTGAAGGATACTCTTTTCTTATAAACATTTGACAAGACCAATCATCATGAAATAAAACTCAGTGTAAACTAACTCTGTCAGTTGGTTTCCATTTTCGAATATTATCTCCATCATACATTAAACGAGCTACTAATCCAGTGATTGGATCTACAAAACAATGAGAAAAAATATTTCAACCGAAAAATATAATTTAAATGTAAACGAAGACGATAATAGTAATGATAATAATAATTTATCCCTCAGGTACCTAGTGAGACAAAGGGTTTCAGTAGCACGTCTACATTTCACTCTATTCTCTCCACTCTTTCCTTTTTACCTGGCTCCACGACTACCCACTACCTTTCATCTCTTCCTCACATCATCTCCTCCATATTACTCTCACTTCGGATGCCAAACTCGTCGTTTCCCTTTCGACATTTACTCGACAGCCTGACCTGATGCGTGATGTCCACAATCGGTCTTCTCAGTGTATGTCCAGTCCAGTCCAATCCATCTCCACTTTTTTCTGCATATTTCTTGGGTAATGGGTTCTTGATTGCTTTGTTCCGAACCAAAGTGAGTTCCTGGTTGCTTATTCTTATTCTTTATTGCCATCTGATTTGATCTTCAGTATCCAGCGTAGGCAGCTGTTGATGAATGTCTGTAGTTTGTTCGAAATGCTTTGCGTGACACACCAAGTTTCTAAACCATATAGAAACACTGACTTGACTGACTTAGTATCTTGTTCTTTATGCTGAGTGAAGTGTAGTAGATCTCCACACCGATTTCAGATTAATGCAGGAAGGCATGTCTTGCTGTCTTTCCGATTCTGGCTGGCTTTGACTCTTTATCGTGCCTGTGTCGCCTGTGGTTGAAACGATGCTGCCTAGGTAGGTAAGTGAAGGAGACAACTTCGTTTAGATTTCTCCCATTGATGGTGATTGGTGCTTGTTGTTGTTGTTGGTTGGGTACCATCATCACCTCTGTCTTCTCTACGTTCACCTTAAGGAAGTTCCATCTTCCTTCGCTGCCTTGCCTCGCCTCTTCTGCCAACTTGTTAGTTTTCACCTGTAGGTCTTCGATTTTGTGCGACGAAATATTCAACACAAATCATCATTAGCGAAATCCAAATCTCCTTCTGGGGTCTTTTCATCCATCCAGCCAGTATATGCCCCTATTCTCGCTCCTCACAGTTTGTTGCAAATAATAATAATAATAATAATAATATCATATTCTCATTACGCCGCCTACGCTTCAGGGCCTTCTCAAACTTCCCACATATATTTTACTAAATACAAACAACAGTGCGTCGTGTGACATTAGGGGCTGTAGGATCAACCAGAACACAGTTAGGACTGACATTTGGCCATTTCTTTACATCCGTTATTCATAGGACCTAAAAGAAAGCCTAAACCAAGGTAAAGACCCGAACACCGGCCATCAAGATAGAAATATGACAAAGAACATCTGCGATATTGTCTGATACTTGTAGTCTCCCGTTGCTTTACTATGTCCAATTGTTCAATGTTTGTTGGTAGATTGGTTCCTATGAGGATACCTCGATACTGTTTGAATACTTATTATGTCAGAACATACTTGGTGGCTAGCAATCGAATCCAGTTTCCTCCTGTCTGAAACTTTTCAGCTGGATGTAGCTGCCTCCTCCAAGTGAATGATGTTGTCAAACCCGGGACCTACCGCTTGAAACCCGAAAGCGTTATCCAGTAGGCTACTGGAGTTTCAAGCGATGGGTACTGGGTTCGAGTTTTAGTAGGAACAACATGACTCATAGGACTAGAACTACATCCAGATGACGAGTCCTAAGTATGACGTAACGTGCATTTAGAACCCCACTGTTAGCCACCAACCACATGCAATAGACTGATCAAGACTAGAAAAATATTCATATAGTTTAAATTGGTATACTTCAAACAAACAACAGCGAGAGGAAACTAATAATATGAATAAAAAATAGGACAAAAAAACTGTGAACATGGAGAATAAGTAAGTATCAACCAATAAACTGTTCAGAGTATAAAATACAAAAAACAGTGGATAGAATATACATCAATAGGGTTAACAACTCGCCGTTAAACTTCAGATTTCCAGATGTTTAGTTTTCTTACGGCAGATACAGATTATACGTCACCAACATATGACATTTCATAGCTACCCTTTACTTAACTGCTTTACAGTGATTCCCTTCAACTGGTTTAATTATTCGATGTAGTAGACATCAGGAAAACATGCCTAGTTGGTGGAAATTTCTGCATAATCAGTCAAAATAACTGACAAAATTGGTACTGGATGATGATTGAAGGTGAAATGAAAATCTGTAACACGGCCGGAATCGAACCAGCGACCACCGGGTTACTGGCCCGGCGCTCTACCAACTGAGCTAAAAGGTCCAACCGCTACCCAGATTTGTATTTCACTTCAATCACAAGGTGGTGGTTTGCCCGACTATCATATGAATTTGTGATGCGTTACTACCGCTTGATCGTATCCGTAGCTCAGTTAGTAGAGCACTGGGTAGGTAACCCAGTGGTCGCTGGTTTGAGTCCGGCCGCGGTCCGAATTTTCATCTCACCTTCAGTCATCGCTCAGTATAAATACCAGTCTGCCGAACCACGACTATCTTTGATAGTCAAATGATAATAAATTGGACTCAATTTAGTAACGTAATATCAAAAAACAGCTTTCAATCGATAAGTCACTTAAGTCTATATATGTACACTTGAGATGAATGTGGATTTCAATTTAGAGGTAGTATTCATCACAGACTGACATCAGTTGGGAAACCATTGAAAACTTGGAAGGACTGGACAGCAGTACGCACCCACGACCCCGTCAGGGATCGAACTCAGGACGAAACATATGTTCAACTCACCCACGTTTTTAATGGTTCTTTAACTAATGTCAGTCCGCATTGAATACATCTAATTTAAAATCCCCATTCATCTCATAAATACATTACTGTATAGTGCTCATTAGTGACATCGTTCCAGATGGATAGCACGAAGTTCTAATGAGAAGTCATGACCTGTTCAGTCAACCAGTCGGAAAGGAAGTGGATGCCAACTGAAGACAGTCACGCTGTATCGTGAGTTGACAAAAGTTGAAAACTGTGGATGATTGGACTTCAACCCAGTGGCTGAATGGTTAACACGTTCGCCGTGGAACCTGGACGTCCTGAGTTCGATCCCTAGCAGGGTCGTGGGTGTGTACTGCCATAGAGTGCCGTACTAAGACGAAACATCTGTCCAGTGCTCCCAGGTTTCCAATGGTTTCCCAACTGATATCAGTTCATGATGAATGCTACCTCTCTATGAAAAGATATTCGACTCTCAATTCAAAATATTCTTTTCAAAATTACATCTGTAGTGTATATTCCCATCTTGTTATTTGGGCTGAATAGAAATTACTAATAGCACAAAAATAGGCATCCATAAAACTATAGAACATCAAGAGGTTGCATTGAATGTCTTTCTATCCACTTACAACATAAGCTCTCCCCTCACCTTATTTTTTTCTTTTAGCTGTCTACCCACAAATGAAAGTAATTATGGCAAAATGATAATATGAGGAAATGAAGTTCCGTGATATATCTTAAGATAATTTGTTTCACCTGAAAGAATATTCTATATCTATTATTTAAAGTGTTTGGGTTAGTGACAGTGACATAAACTTCTACTGTCACTGACCCTAATACTTTAAGTAATAGATATAGAATATATATAAGTAAACGCCATGATACATAAGAGGTACAATACAATCTGTTATATATCAGTCGGTTTGACTAGAGAAAGAAACCATCCCTTTTCCAGTTTAAGACAGTTGAAGAGATCTAAACACCTAACAACCCTAAGACAAGAAACAATTATTCATAAATTTGAAAATAGAATATCACTACAAGGTAATATTGGATTCAATAATGACAAAGGATGGCTAATCTCTCTCTAAAGTGCTTATTACTAAGAAAGTATGTTCTAGAACCAATTGTTAATTCGATATGAATGTATCAAAAATAAAAGGTTAAAGGAAGAAGTACAGTTCAGGTTAAGACTTTATGCATCAATATACGTTTATGAAGATCGTTTTTTTAAAGGTACTGTTATGGTTTCGAACTCTAATAGTTTCGAACACTAATGGTTATTTATTCCGAAACGAATATAATACGCACGCTTAGCTGACAGCTAACTTGGTCCGCAAGATCCACTGACTGCGACCCCGGGACGAATAGAGAGAAGACCGAAGTTGGCAGATAGGAGAGTTTATCACGCCGAGAATATTAATAATAAACACGTGAATAAGTATACACATGAAAAATGACCTCAGGCCTCAATTTGAGGCATTTGCATAGGTAAAAGTAAAGATTAACCAATAACGATTTACATTACAATGGGGGCAGAAAATAGACTATTAGTCATACCGTAAAAATAGTGTGTGGGAATGGCACGTTAAAAAGATCAGACCAATAACAATGTTTTATACAAAACTGGGGCATCACAACGGGAACTAAGCTCCACTTATTGTGGATGAGCAGTATGGAAACCAGTAAAATTTTCTGCCTTATGATAAAATATGAAATGTATGACAACAGAAGAATAATTCAAAATGCTACAGACTAAAAGAAAACAACGAAGAAGATAGAAATATTTTACATTTAATTTAAAATTCTTATTCATCGTAGACTGACATCAGTTGGAGGAACAAAGGAAACCTGGGAGCACTGGACAGCTGTTCGTCCCAGTATGGGACTCCTCGGCAGTGCGCACCCACGACCCGCCAGCCAGGGGTCGAACCCGCGACCTTCAGGTTCCGCGGCCGGCGCGTTGCCATTGAGCCACTGGGTCAGAATCCAATTGTCCATATTTCCAACTTCTGTTAGCTCATGATATAGCGCAACTGCGGAACCTGAAGGTCGCGGGTTCGGTCCCTGGCTGGCGAGGTCGTGGGTGCGTACTGCTGAGGAGTCCCATACTAGGGTGAAACAGCTGTTCAGTGCTCCCAGGTTTCTTTTGTTCCTCCAGCTGATGTCAGTCTACGATGAATAACAACTTGAAATATTTCCAAATCTCCACAACTCCCTCAAAATTACATTTTATTATTTGAAACAGGGATACATTATAGAAATTAGCGTTATTTGTGTTGACTTTTACTTGCCC